GTTCTCAAATAAGAGATCAAGGCCTTTCGTATGATGTCAAATGTAGCTGTGACCACAAATGAGGATGAATATAGTTGATGTAAATAATAGTAGGAAAATAGTACTTGGCAATCCCTCCTATCGTTAAAAATTAGCAAGTGCGCTCCAGATACACTTACTTAAATGCATCATTATAATGCGCTCATACATCTTACTAGTGTTCATTAAAGTTTAGCTTAAGAGATCAAAGAAAATCAATTTTTATATAATGGAAAAAACGATCGATGAAGAGATTAGTTAATAAGAAATGAGATAGTTCGCTTTCATATACGTACTGTTGCGCCACACCATTCGCAGCGCATCCCAGTAAGACATTCAGTGGACCAACAGGCCTTGCGGCAAGCGGCGCATTTTGAGTTGACTGGTAGATTACCTTCGCGCCAATGGTGAGCCTGACTATCGGGTGGAGGAGCCTGTGGAGGAGGGCTGGGTGTCCCAATGCTAGAGGTGGAGATGATAGTACCAGTAGCGGTGGCCGTGTTTGACAGCAGACTAACTAAAGCTGATGGGGAAAGCGAAGATACAGGGCTTCCAAATAGACCGACAGTAGTGACATTGCTGGCAAGTGGAGGGACAGGTGGTGCAGATGTGCGCGCGATGGATCCTGTACTAACACCAGAACTTGAGCCAGCGGGCCAGCAAGTGGTGGCTGTGGGTGAGGAGGAAACTGATGCAGAGGCACTAAGCGATAGCATCGGCAACTGGGTAGAAGCAATGACTCCGCTGACCGGAGATGAAAGATACTGTTGTGACGGTGGATTTGTAAGGGGACCAACTATAGGCGAAAAAAGGAGGCCGGAGTCACCTGAAGGACTCATTGGAGCTTCTGAGTCGCGGCCCCCGTCTGACGTAGAGTGACTCAATTCACTGATCGTGGTAAAAGTGGCTGCGGCCACACCTGTGACTGACTCGATAAGTGGCATCAGAAGAAAGGTTGCGTTCACCGGGCTGGGATTAAGCTGCAGAAGCAATGATGCATAGAAATGATGCAAATGCCAAATCTTTTCAATTATATGCTAGGCGACATGGCTTACGAAGATAGTAAGGTCTGATAATATGTTTGAATGTTATACATACATACATATATATGGCGAGAATTCCTGGGCCATAATTATAATGTGAAGATTAAAAAGACAGTGCATTTCAAAATGTATCAAAAGTCCATACAGTCATTAACTAAAATCTAGAAACAAGGATTACATACGTGACAATTGTGATGATCGTGAGACTAAAGCACAAGCACGGTAAAAATTTCATTAATGGATTGAAAAAGCTTTTAAAAGATCATCCCAAGTTCGAATGTGGCGGATAAAGAGATAGCGAGCTAGCATGTTTCATATTACTTGCTATATCAAATTCGTAACAAACCAAGAAGCACTTGGTGAAAGTGATTAAAAGATTTATTCATGAGAGAAATATAAGTAGTTGATCTAAATAAAGATTCAGTAATGATAAATTGGCGTCAGAGATCAATTATTGATCTGTTCAGAAACTAATGAGGCTGAATTTTGATATCTGGTTCCATCATAATGTAAATGAGAAAGAAA